TCTATCTGATAATTTCAATAGGTGGTCCATCTATAAATTACCAATATTTGAATTAATTAAAGAAAAATAAATTTTGTTGTTTTAACATCATCTGTTTCTAGTGTTAAAATGCCTTTTATATTTTATACGTCAATGTGTACTACAGAAATCAAATATCTTAACAAAGGTTGAAAGTAACTACCTTCATCCTGTAGGTAATACCACCAAGACAAAGTTGGAGACGTGAGATGTACCTTTCAGTTGATATCTAGCCTGCTACCAATAGTCAAAATGAAATTTATTTCAACTGGCCAAAATGGTGATTCGCTCAGAATACCCGATACACTGCAATTTCAACCATTATTCTGGTGGTTCTTGTATTAACTAAGCATTCAATTTTATTTCAATGCACTTTACAGTACATTCTAAACTCTTCCACCCCTGTATTAATTAGGCTAAACACCACCCATTTCGATACAAACTGACTGATTTATACTCCAGGGTTTGACCACACTGATCTGGGATTCTTTAGTTCAATGGGGCTGGAACTGCAGCAGTGAAAGGTTGTTTACATTCCTCTTATATCTACTGTGGAAATTTATGGAGCTGCATGTTTCAAGATCATGGGAAAGTTTATTTGAAATGCTCCATCAATCCACAATCAAAGCAAGTATTCTATCCATTCTGCCCAGTTCACTATTTGAAAAAATGGTGCACACTGGTGCTACTGTAGCACAACTATCATTGAGATCTCGAGAATTCCTGATCACTCACTGATATTCAGTGTGGCTATGCCAAGATAAGATACCAACAAGTGCTTATGACAGACAATTTTGTAGTTTAATGCTTTCCAGAAGCCATTTTTAACGAGATGGAGCCTCCACAGCTACCACTAACACCTTCTATTTATCCAACTTCCTCAAATTCACCACCTCATATCTAACTTTTACAGAAACAGACCTTATAGGTGTGCATATCTTTAACTATTTTATGGTGTTACGTCATTTTGCTTGGGAAAATCCTTATATGCAGATCTCAGAGAAGGATATAGCTTCCATAATTCTCATAGGTCCATTTCTTTTGAGCTTTGACCCAAGTTGCTCCTCGTTTAAATGTTCATACAATTTAAGTACTTGCCATTGTGACTAAGCATCAGGCATTGTACTGCCTGTTCCTAGTTAAAGTAAGCAGTGTTTGTCTTTTTTGAAGTTTCCTTGAAAATCAGAAGAGTGATTCACAGCTGTGATAGCAGATTACGCCCAGGATGTCTATGAAAGCATGTAGCTTAGACCCATATGATGTTATTAGCTGCTGCTGCTGCATAGAAACATGTGGACTCTGTCCTCAGTCGTCAGAGTGATGTGATATTCAAATTCATCTTGTGGTTCTAATACCACACTCTCCTCTCTAGGAAACTCATGGTCACATTCTTACTCAACTGTTACTTGGTGTTTCTCCTGGTATTGAAACATCTCTGGACGATTGACCTTTTCCTTCATGTCTACCTTTTCCTAGTCATAGTAATAGCTACTAGCAATGAACTTTCACTCCACTGATCAGCATTAATTTGAGTGTCTTATAGAATCCTCCTTCTCAGATTTATAACCTCCAGACCACAAGTCGCTCTCTGAAGTTCAAGTTCAGAAGTAGAACAGCTTGAAAATGGTCATATCAAAGTTGCAAACATGGCCCCTTGCATCAGCCACAAAACACCGACACCTAGGAGAGGATTTCTCCTAGACTATGAAACGTTCTCGAATTATGATTTTCCTTGAGCATCAAATTCTCCCTTTTCTCATAGTTCTTTATATGTAAAATGGCATTTACAACTTTTATCAAAGTTCAAGCATATTGTTGCGTCAGCGAGGTCATGTGACTAGTATCACGCCACGTCCTTCTCGAACCTTCGTGAATTGTCGGGAGAGTACAAGATTGGGGTTAGTCTGGTATATATAAGATGGTCACAACGTGACGAGGGGTAATGAGTAATTGAACTGCAG